AAAAAATGAAAGCGTGAATTTATTTTATCGATTTAATCAGGAATTAGAAAACCGAATGCTTTGAAATCTTGGGAATATTTTAAAGTTATTATAAGCATGGTAAACTTTTGTTCAAAATGTATTTGTTCATCCCTCCTAAAAAAATTGATGACGTCACCCTCAAATTTTGCTGAATAAATCCTATCTAAAATGCAAAAAATATGATGAGTTTGTACTTGTGATTTATCATTCCATTCATATTTTTTCGATTTTCTTAAGAGGTGGTTCAAAAAAATTAATGAAGTCAATTTATTTTATTGATTAAATTAAAGGCAACACTTATTATTAGTATTACACCCCAACCAACCCAATTTGGTAGACACAAAATTTGTTAAAGGAAAAACTCGGTTGAAACATAAGGGTAGCACGCTTATTTATATCGACTTTAACATTACAGACCTGCATTTGTTTTATGCGCTCACTTGGTTCCGCGAATGTGAAATAGACATGTTTATAATCAACCAATTGTGAATTTCACCGTCAAGAATTAAAATAAAACCCAATGTTTTATATAATAAGCGGAAGTCGAAGCAATAAAACCGATGGTCGTTTTGTTTACAGTTTCTCTGTTTGACTCTCACGTATGCTGTTACGCCTGTCATCTTAAATTAAGAATGTTTATACATACACGATTTTCAGTTGCCTCTGATACGTATACGTGAGTAAATTGTTTCGTTATTTTATTGATTATTACAAATCAATATTCAAAACGACCCAATTCATTTTCCCGAAAATTTGAGAATATAATAATTTTATTCTTAGTATTACACTACATCTATCCCAACTGATATACGTGTCCTTGCAAAAATGTTGATGACGTCATCGCAATTTTTTTTTAAATTCCCACTACAAAAATGTAATGAGAAAAAAAACACAATAGGCATGCAGTCGTCAAGTTTCCGACAGCGAGGGAAGTACTGTCTAAACTCTTTAGACCAATTTTTTTTAATTACGATCCTTTAGTGGACCCTTTTTTCTTACATTGTAACCGATATTATCTGTTTTCTAAATAAATGCAGGTGCTTCAGGGGCGTGGAAACTCTTATAAGAATAGATATTTTTTTTAACTTTAATTTGACATTAACTTGTTTGTCATTTAAGCAAAATTTATTTGATCGATTTCTGATATTGATGAAGAAACACAGTAACAGTAAGTTGTTAATATAATGTAGATATTTTGAACTGTAAGTTAAAAAATTGGTCGAAGGTTATATCGTCCAACAAATCGTGTTTCTTTGAAAAAATTGAATATTTGATTTTGGCAACATTTTACTTTCTTGTACCAACATCCAAAACAGTAAAAACAATATATTAGATAATATTAGTTAGAAAAAAAGATCGCACGCGCATCACGGATCACCTTAGCCGACGTTGCTTGTAAAAGGTTATTAAATTTTATGAATTATTTTAGGAAAATCTGGATGCTTTGAGGAAAAATTTTGGTTATCGTCTTACCATCTGCATAATATTCCTAATATACATACAAAATTTGACAACAATGGGTCCGGCACTTTCGGAGATTATCTGTCTAATAAAAATCGACATAGACGACAGACAGACGGCGATAAAACATGAAGGTAGCTGTTCGCTGGGTGGACCCAATTATATACAGTACTTTCTAAGCGTACGCTCGAACATCAAAAATTTTTTCTAAAAATTATAAAATTTGATTTTGCGAAATTTATTCTTTTGTAACAAAAGTGTACTCCCAAAATTTCGGGAAAACAGTGAGCCGTTCTTGATTAGATCAATAAGATAAATTGCTTCATTATTCCTCAAATCCTCAGAATTCCATAATTCTCAAGTCCTCAGAACTCCATAATCCTCAAATCTTCAGAACTCCATAATCCTCAAGTCCTCAGAACTCCATAATCTTCAAATCCTCAGAACACCAAAATCCTCTCATCATCCGAACAGCGAAATCCTCAAATCCTCAGAACTCCACAATCCTCAAATCCTCGGAACTCCATAATCTTCAAATCCTCAGAACTCCATAATCCTCAAATACTTAGAACAGCGAAATCCTCAGGTCCTTAGAACTCCATAATCCTAAAATCTTCAGAACACCATAATCCTTAAATTCTCAGAACACCACAATCCTCAAATCCTCAGAACAGCGAAATCCTCAAATCCTCAAAACTCAATAATCCTCAAATCCTCAGAACTTCATAATCCTCAAATCCTCAGAACTCCACAATCCTCAAATCCTCAGAACTCCATAATCCTCAAGTCCTCAGAACTCCATAATCCTCAAATCCTCAGAACACCAAAATCCTCACATCATCAGAACAGCGAAATCCCCAAATCCTCGGAACTCCATAATCCTCAAATCCTCTGAACTCCATAATCCCCAAATCCTTAGAACAGCGAAATCCTCAGGTCCTTAGAACTCCATAATCCTAAAATTTTCAGAACACCATAATCCTTAAATTCTCAGAACATCAAAATCCTCAAATCCTCAGAACAGCGAAATCCTCAAATCCTCAAAACTCAATAATCCTCAAATCCTCAGAACTTCATAATCCTCAAGTCCTCAGAACTCCGTAATCCTCAAATACTCAGAACTCCATAATCCTCAAGTCCTCAGAACTCCATAATCCTCAAATCCTCAGAACTCCATAATCCTCAAGTCCTCAGAACTCCATAATCCTCAAATCCTCAGAACACCAAAATCCTCACATCATCAGAACAGCGAAATCCTCAAATCCTCGGAACTCCATAATCCTCAAATCCTCAGAACTCCATAATCCTCAAATCCTTAGAACAGCGAAATCCTCAGGTCCTTAGAACTCCATAATCCTAAAATCTTCAGAACACCATAATCCTTAAATTCTCAGAACACCAAAATCCTCAAATCCTCAGAACAGCGAAATCCTCAAATCCTTAAAACTCAATAATCTTCAAATCCTCAGAAGATCATAATCCTCAAGTCCTCAGAACTCCATAATCCTCAAATTCTCAGAATAACGAAATCCTCAAATCCTCAAATCCCCAAAACACCAAAATCCTCAAATCCTCAGAACAGCGAAATCCTCAAATCAGAACTCTAGATTTTTCAAATTCGCAGAATTAATCATTAAAAAATAAAATATGAATGCATAACATTGGTAGTGATCTTAACTTCTAACGTGAAAATTAAAAATTCCACTGAAACAACAACGAAAAAAATCTGTTAAAATCTGAACAAACTAATGAAGAATAAATAATGAACTGAAACAAATGAAACCTGTTTTCGGAATGATTTGACCATTTTCAATTTTTTTTTTGTATAAAAACGTTTTTCTCCGTCATTTGAAGAATTACGTTAAAAGTAAGCCCAAATGGGTGATCCTGAGAAAATTTCTGGTAAGAATGGTCTTTTCTCAGAATAATTAAGCAATTTTTAATTTTGGCGTAAAAATGGTGGCGGCGCCGGGATAATATGAAAAATAAATTTTATCACGTGAATTAAAAAACAGTATACTGAGTAATATAACGATTTCTTTAAAGCTCTTGAATTTTAACTACATATATAAAATAAAGACGCAAGTACGAATTAGAACCAAGATAAATGACCAAGTTTTCGAACCGATTTGATAAAAAATTAGTTTCTGCAAAACACCAGGTTTCGTTCTATAATTCAAGTAAATATAATGAAAATAAACCCACACTGGCGATCCTGAGAAAACACGATGAAAATGGCTCTTTATAAAATTAATTTGACAATTTGTTAATGCCAAATTATCCAAAGTTAAAGATTTTCCACGCCCCTGAAGTATAGTCATACAAATGCAGTTATTTATAAAAGAAAATAGTTAATATCGGTTACAACGTGACAAAAAGTGGTCATTAGTGTATCAAACTTAAAGAAAACATGAAAGTGACCATTCGTCATTTGATGTTTAGTATTTATAGCAAACTGTTAGTTCGAGACCAGTTGCAAGCATCCGCTTGTCGCGTTGGCGTAGCTGTCTTGGTTGTTACGTTGCTTTAGCGGGTTTGCTGTTTTGCTGAAATAAAGTGACTTAAGTCATGTTAATTAAGTGTGTAATATGTCATTCAATTGTGAATTTTGTTTGTTAAAGCTGTTTTTGCTAAAAATAGTGGCCTCTGACTTCCAACTTTCTTGTTGTAACATCGGTATCAGATATCTTGTGTGAACTTACCACACTCTTTCGTGAGCGGATGATGGATCTTTTGTTGAAGTAGGCGGAGTTAACACTTCTTCATGGTAAAAGAAAATGGAGTATGAGTTAAGGATTAAAATGTACTGTTACCATATAGGTTGAAACGGTTTTAATGTGACGCAAAATGTCTATTTAATTCAGAGTAATTAATTAAAATATTTTTGACCTTGTTTACGTGGAATATTCCTCGTTTCTGCGATCCAATGTTAGGTTGAGCAAGATGTTTTTCTAAAGAACTGTAATATTAATCAAGGAATGAGTAAAGAAATTTCAATTAATGTTCTGTAATTCATAAGTCAATATTAGTGTTTTAATAAATTATTTTTTGTATCGTCTTTCGGTACATCGTATTATCTGTTAAGGCAAAGGAAAGAGTACATTATAATCCCGCAGTATGCCATTTTTTTATCAACTTCATGAGATAATTTAAAGGTACACTGAAAATTTGAAAGTAATTGGCGTAGATTCTGAAATTAACGTCGCTAAGAGACGAAAATGATAAACTCACATTTTCCCACACTGGTTATGAAACAACAATAAAATATCAAATTAGGGTTCCGTTAAAATTACCCTTTACTATACTTATCGTTAGGGAAGGGAAGCAAAAGGGGACAGTCTATGTATTGACAAATATTCGTCCAATTCGTTTCTATAGCCCATTATTTTCATAAATAAATTACTTTCCAGAATGTGAACATCCTACGCACTATTTTGCAAATGGGATATTAAGCAACTGATGTGTTTGGCAGGTCTTGATTAGATTACTTTGATTATAATTTAATCCCTTTTTCTCAGAAACTTCCAGACGTTCGAGGGGAAGTCAAACGTATCTGGCAATATTTACGAATCCAATCCGTACTTAAATCCATCAGCTCCTTATTCAGGTGATGTATACGGATCTGGACAAGAGGGACGAGATTATTCTGGAGCAGGGGGAAAATTTGAAGATGAGCCGCCGTTACTTGAGGGTAAGATTTTATGAGCTATTGGAAACTGAAATAAAAACTTATCGCTATTTACTTCGTAAACTTCTAGAAAGACAATCTTGGGATTTCTAGTCATGTCCAAGCCAACTTTTTTCATTACCATCTTAAATCGGATGAGAAATTAAAATTTTCGGGTATAAATCACTTTATTCGTTCATTTGAATAACTAGGAAAAACTCATTAAAATGTAAAAATGTTTTATAAAGAAACAAGTAATTATTGGAAAACAATGTAAATCCTTCGATTCATTTTTAGGAAGAGCAAATTTATTATTCAGTCATATCAAATCCATGTTTATTCTAATTTTACGAAGCATCAAATCCTGCTTAATTCAGAGCCGGGTTTATAACGTTGACGTACATTATTATCTTCGAAGCATTATTTAGTTTAGCGAACTCGGTATTTGAGTCGAAACTTACGATCGATTTTGTATCTTTAAAAAAACTCGGTATCTGCGAGCTGGATTCATTTACTCCGAGTTTGTTAAATTTATTTACTTTCTTTTTCAGAACTGGGCATTAATCCCGAGTTCATCGTACAAAAGGTGAGTTTTTCACGTAGGGTTGCGAAGAAATGTTTTTTTTGAATAAGTCGAGATAGAAAATTAATAGCAACGGAAAATATTGATTGGTAGACGCTTTAATATCGGAAACTTGGAAGCTCCCCTTGGCTATAACGAGAAAAAATTGGGAAGTTTTTGCGATTCTCGTCGCTTTTTGCCTTTTATTATAACAGTTTATCCGAAATTCGTCACGTTTTTGGCCTTCCTTGTGCCAAGCGATTAATAAAATATGCAAAACAAACAGCACACTCCGAGCAATCGCGGAAATCCGATGACGTTTTAAAATCCTCATGAAGGTGGTGTGAGAGGACGACGAACGTCATAAAACTTCAGTATCCACGGGCTAAATGATTTAAAAAATAAAGTAAAAAACTTTATAGTCGACTTGCTGCCATTTATTAATTTATGTTTAATGGGGGAGGGAGGGGGTGTGAAAAAAGCGAAATATCTTAATACAATTAGTAAATCGCGTGTTGGGGTGTCGCTTTTGTTTTTATTATATTTCTTAAACAGGTTGTTTCTGACGGTGTTCTTGTTCACTGTTTCTAAAGAGAGCGTTGTAGTTTTACACCGGGGCTCTTGGGAAACATTTAAGCTTTTGTTTGCTTTATCAAAGTCTTAACTTCCTTCGTTTTTGGTTTTCTCTGTTGATTCGAAAGTAACAGTCTGAATTTAAATTTTTTCACCCTTAAGAGGGCAACTGAAATCTTCTGCACTATATAAATACATCAGAAAATTCTGAAAGCCACCTCTTATCTAATGCTCTTTTGTCGTATTCAAATCGGATACGTAGACGCATTTCAGCTGTTGCCTACGAGACTGAACTTTTATTTCTGCCTCGTAAATGTTTTAAAAATTTAACTTTACGTGCTGACCCAGAAATTACACGACTACACTTACACGACATTCCTTCTTGGATTCTAGGACGACAGCGAAAAGTGAAATTGCTTTTGTTGTTGACATTTGGTTATAACTGACATATGTATTTTTTATTCCGACCCATTTCATATATGTATAACGTTATTATATGTATAACATGTGCGACCGTACAAAAAACACCTATCCTGTTTTTCCATTTTTAAGACTTCTGTAATCTCCGCGTTATGTCATGCAGTACGACGTAAAGCAGCTTCGTGGGATTTTTTTTCTCGAGTAACAGAAAAAATTATTGCTGCTGCACTTATAAAAACCTTGTAAAACTTCTTGCTTACTTCAGAATTTTTCACACTGAAATTCTGAAGCGTTTTACCTTTTTTTATTGATCCACTTTCCAACAGCAACACGGACGGAGGCAACTTTAAGCAAGCTTGCTAACAAATTATCATTATTAACCTTAGCTCCACCGATGTAAACGGCTACACAATAATAGAAAATATAAATTTTCTCGAGAAAGGCGGTTTATATAACTATGAATTTCCACCAAGTTTACACATTAAGGATTAGTAATACAATGGTGAATTTGTAAAATGAAAACTTTATTTCGTTTAAAGTTATAGATTTTCAAACTATCAAGATTTATGGTTTGTATGTTTGTAGTTTAAAAACTAACGTAAGGAGTTATATAATAATAGTTTATTGTGTTCAAAAGCACTAAAGTACATATGTCTCGTAAATTTGAATGTGAAATTTATCTCACAGGAGGGATTAAAGCACTTTAGTTTTTGGTTTATGCATTAGTTTTGCATTGTACAAAATTGTTCTACTGCAAATGTAAATATGGTAATGCAAGCAAGCTCAACTGTTGGGAAATGTTGCATTTTTTTCTCGTTTGTGTACATTTAAGTAAGCACAATTTGGAAAGTTTTGAAAATTTTACTCCTAAAATTAAAGCGTGAACATGTGGAAGAAAGCAAGTTTGAATTATTGTCTGTAAACATACGAAAACTTTTGAAAGAATTGTTCAAGACACATTGACGAGGAATGGTATTATACCTATATCAATTTTTGATAATGTTTGTCTAATGGTTCGCAAGATTTTTCTGCTGTGCCCTGGTTTAGAATAAGTCGTAAGTCGTCATTATCAAAATTTTTACGTCAGTTTTAACTTTCTTTTTAAAGCGTTGAATTTTCTTAAGTGAGATTGTATAAATGTTTCCAACAAAAATGAACTGAAAGAAATATTGGATTTACGATATACAAAACAATAATAAAAATCGGGATGTTGTACGTCCTTTCCAAAATGATTATTTGGAAAACCTGTTTGAGTCTACAAGTAGTAATGGCAGCACCCTCAAGCATTTTCGAAATTTCATGTCTTTCAAAATTTTATTATTTTGGTGAGCTTTGGCAAAAAATTATGTACTTATGCAACAATCTCCAAACTCTGATTTGCATATTTACCTTATAATATAAATATCCATTTTAGTTAGCATTGGAATTGTAGCTGCCTTTCTTATTGCCCTTTGCGGATAGTAGATGATAAGAAAGAATGTGTGCGATCAATGGTTAGGGACGTTTTTTGTTGATCGCACCTTATTCTATCCCTGTAATATGGTGTATAATTTATTGTATATACAGGTTGAGTCAATAAGTTTGCGTTCCTCAACATCTCGTTAATTATTACAGATAGAAAAACAAAAATTATTTTGAACTATACAAAGTGTGCTGTTCTGTTTTTGAGGAACAACATAGAACTTAGTTATTTACTTTCGGAGTGTAAGCTAAGGAAATTTTTTAAATCAAGTCCATTGGGCGACTGATTACTTTCATGTTTTCTTGACGTTTCATGACCCCTAAGGTACGAAAAAATATGTCCTCGTTTTCATCTGTCTGTTTAGCCGCTGTGAAAATACTGATGATATCGCAAAATTTTGCCGAATAAATCCAATCCAAAATATGCATAAGTCTATACTTGTGGTTTATCAATGCATTAATATTTATTAAAATTACTTATACAGGGTGATTAAAAAAATGATTAAAGCAATCTATTTTATTGATCAAATCAAGAATGGCTTACCCTATTTTTCGAAAATTTGACTATACAGTAGTTATTATTAGTCTTCCATTACACTTATTCAAATTGATAAATGTATTTTTACTAATATGTTCTCGTCATCACCACCCAATTTTGTTATGCAAAAACTCACTTGAAACATATGAATTGCATGTTTGTTTATGTGTACTTTAACAGTCCACATCTATCTTTATTTTAACTTATAATAGGGCCTATCATTAAAAAAATAAAATTCGCAACATTAAATTTTATAATTTTCCAAAGAAACTGTATTTGTTCGCCTGTACCTCAGAGGTTAGGAAGGTCTAAATAACTAGGCCTTTTTTTCACAAAAACGTTTCCAATTGGATTATTTTGTTTAGATCAATGGACAAATAAAAAAGGGTATGTGCTTTGTTTTGGTATCAATAAAACTGAGTTTGGGTATACTGAGAACACCCTACATTTTATTCAGTTTACTCTATTTTTTTTTCTTTTTCTTTATTGTTAAGTATTTCTTATACTTCAAGTTGTTAATTTCTGCATTTTTACAATTTTCTTAACGAACTCTTTTGTTGAGAGAGCTGTGATGTGATAACAAACAAACAATATGTTGTTATCATTGTAAAAGCTTGCGGTGTCTAAAACATTGATTAAAGAAAATTTACTTAGAAAGATTTAATAAACTTGGTGTATATTTTGGGTGAAACATAATTAAATTTCCTTCTAGGATCTAGAATATATGCCCAAAAGTATCTTGGGAATCTTTCTGATCACTCGGTGCGCTAAAATAATATGTTTGTATATAAGGTTTACCCCACAACACCGAAAACACACAACATATTTGTCGACGCATTTCGCCAACATTAGTCAAACCAGTACAGTTTTGTGAATGGATATTAAGTAAAAGCCAAGCACAAAACGATTTTTTTGATTATGTACTGGTGTCCGATGAAGCAACTTCCCACAAAATTGGATTATTATAATAACACTAACTCCAATTAGACCTGTTTCTCATCAGCATAGGTGGTCCTTGGATGTATGGGGAGGTATAACAGGAAATTATGTAATTGGACCTTTTGACGTGACAACGTCTTATAATTCGATTGAGCCGGTTGCACGCACGAAAAAACATGACTCATGCGGCGTTACCTCGCTCTGAGGCGTTCCATGTGACTCATGCGGCGTTACCTCGCTCTGAGGCGTTCCATGTAAGGCTTGAAGTACAAGCGAGAACGCGACAAAATTAAAACAATAAGTTAACAGAACTATTTCACGATGAGTAAAAAATCGATGGCTTTACTATTTAATCGAAATAATTTTCGAGCGTAGCTATGATTTAAAAAAATTAAAACGTAAATATTAAATCTTCCACATATCACAACAACGTGTCTGAAATTACAGGTTGGACCAGCCAGCCGTCAAAGGGAACATTTTCTCCTATATCAAACACATTGAGGCGGGCTTTTTAAACACTAGATTTACGAAAATCTTAATGTTTCCAAATTTTAAATTTTAAATGTAAGATTTATAAACAATAATTTAATCATTGTTTATTCTTATAATGAATTATTTGAAATTATTACTTTTTTATAACAAATTACAATTTAATTTGCAAAAATAATTAAGTGACTATTGAAAAAATTTAATTATATTATTATTAAAATAATAAAATCAAAATTTAAGAAATTTTTATAAATTATTTTCTTAAGACGTTGTCACGTTCAACTATCGTCAGTAAACCGACTTTACAGACAACCGATTTTTTTATTGAAATTATAAAGGTGAATGATACTTACATTTTTTTATATCTACCATTAAATGTTTGAAATAACTTGTGGTTTCGATAGGAAGGGGCACCGCCCCACTGTAGCGTGCAGTCTGAAAAAATAAGGCCCGCCAGTATTTTAACAGATGAATAGAATGGTTAGGTCCAGTAGGATGGGTACTAGAATTCTTGATTTAACAAAATTAGATTTTTATGGCGCTATGTTAAAGAAATGGTTTACGTTGTAGAATCAACAACGAGAGAAGACATGATATTATATTA